GCAGCCTTATATTTGTTGGGATGATGTGTGCAATGGCTCACATTTAAAAGATGATCATAACTCCTATAAGGAAATATCATATAGTGAAAATAAATGTTGGGGGCTATGGAAACTGCTGCATTTTTCAAAGCAGGCCAGCTTGCTAATTTAATGAGGAAGAGGCTGTATGTGATTGACTGACTGGGGGGCAGAGGAATGTCATTGACATGCCAGGGAATATATTTGGGAACAAAAGAATGGTAAGTGAAGGAATAAAGAACATCCATCAGGTGTCCTTTATCAGCAGAAGGTAACTGATTCTTCCAATCATAGATTATATCTGCTTGCCGCCACCTGATAAATCCTATGTAATTAATTGGGATGAATGCAAGTATTTAACTCCTGTTGACAGCTATGGCCGTATGAAGATAACACAGCTGCTGAACATGTAGTTCTCATTTTATATTGTACTTGTGGCTACTGTTACAATACACTTTAAGGACAGCTAGATTATGAGTAAAAAAATAAATAAATTATGAAGTACTCACTGTTCTTTCTATAATTACAGCATGAACTCCCCCCCCCTTTTTTTTTATCACAGACTTTGATGTGCCTTAAACTGTCTGCCCATTCTTGACTAGAAGGATCACATTTTCTGGACCAAACTTCTTGTGAGTGGGAATTGTAGTTTGGTCCCTTCCCTTCCCTTCCCTTCCCTTCCCTTCCCTTCCCTTCCCTTCCCTTCCCTTCCCTTCATCTAAGGGAACAGGCCAGTGATATCTCTGGAGGAGAAAAGACCCCAAAACTCAAATGTTGGATTTTCTAATCAATTTGGAATGGTCTTTAATAAAAAGTAGACATCTTAAATCTTGTACTCAAAAGAGATAAATATTATATCATTGAAAGTTTGCAATTTGCTCTCAAATTTCAGGGGCACAATTTTGGGGGCCTCTGAAGGCTACAAAAATGGGGCTCTGGGAATTGCATTCCCAGTTCTAGATGGAGGGCTGAAAAACTGTCTTGGAGCCAGATGTTAGATACATCTTCCAATACCTATAAAGGCCATAAGCACTTCCTATCAGCCATTTTGCTAAGACCAGAGTGCAAAACATGAAGTTATAAAGCAGGATTGAGCACAGGTACCTCCCCCTATCTCCTTCAATCATGGCTGCTTGAATGAATCACTCCAAGAGCTGTGCTAGTATTCAACTGAATAGAAAAGCAGTTCTCCTTCTGATCTCTTCATTCAGTGCAAGGAGGGTTGGGAAGAAGTTGGGTATAACTACCTGCCAGTATGTGTGGTCATGTCCTCTACCCAGATTCAAATACTTGTGTGTCAAGACAAATGCTGGAACAGAGCTCAGGATATGAGAGAAAGCATACTGAGGTTGATATACAACCAGAAGATCCATTTCCCCACTGCATTGCCCCCAGAAATGGATATAAGCAGCATGTTAGTAGTGGTGATCCATTCTCTTCTTAACTCTTCAAAATTGTTTGTACTATCCCCATACTAAGAACTGAGGTATACCTTTGCTTTAGATCCCTGTGCAGAACGGGCCAGTAGCAAAAAGTAGCTTGCTTTATTTAAAAGTAAAATGATGGAGAAGAGTGGAGACGACGAGAAAGCAAATCTATATTCCAATCATCCTAAAGCTACATCCACCTTTGAATGTAGAAAAGCAGAAATATTGATTGAATCCAAAGTGTAGATATCCTTTTCAAGACAGTTTGATCCTGCAGGTTATAAGACAAACTAGTTTTTAGAATCGGATCCTGATATTAGGCAGGCTTTTCTACACAAAATAGCATTAGGAGTTAGAAATCATGTCAAGCAAGTGACAATCCTCTGCTCTCTCCTTTCTTTCTTCTTGGCAACCTGGTGACCCCAGAGGCATTTATCTGCAAATAGCAGCAAGCCCACTGGATCTGTTGAAGCCAAGATAAGAGAGAGGGGGAAACAGAGTCAAACTCTTTTCCTTAATCCTTATGTACTTAAAGAAAGGTTTTACACTCAAATTCAGTTGAAGACCTTAGCTGAGATTCATGAAGATTTTTTTCCCTTTCTTCCCTGCCCTCATTTTCTTATTGTGTTTTGCTCCCTCCAAATCTCCAGGATGGCTTCCCTAGACTCTAACTCTAAAATCAAGTTATGTATTCATGCAGACAATTTGGGCTTTCATAACTGGGATTCTGTATCTTGGGAAATACCATAAATGATGATGTCTCCCCAGAGGTTCAAAACATTGCTGGCTTTGCCATTGCTTGATGTTATTAAAAAAACAAAGCGGATAAAAGGAAAGGGAAAGAAAAGAATAAAAGAAAAGAAAAGAGAAAAAGGTCATCAGGTATTTAGGAAACTGCAGTATGTATTGGTAGGGCTATGTTTACCTTAGCAGGGGTGGCATGTCCAACTGTAACCTTTAAGAGAGCAAAAAGGCACCGTAAATAGAAGTCTTAAAGTGTTTCCAGGGTAGAATTCCAGGCCTCAACAGTAGTCTCTTTCTTCCTGAGATGGATGACTTCTGTTTCTCATCCATGGGCCTGTTTTCCACCTGTGACTCAGGACTGATCAAATTCTTTTCTCAAGAGAAGAATATGACACTTCAAGTTAGCACTGCAGATGGTTTAGAATTTTGGCCCACAATGCCAATTTTTCAGATAGTGCTTTTTCTTGTTGAAGCGAATCTCCTTGCCTTAAAAAAATCAATTCTGTCTCTAATTAAATACAAACTTACAGTCTGTTCTGCATTCATTGTGGTATGTTCTCAAATCCAATAACCCCATTTGAATATGCTTAGAGTGGATTCTTCCAACTCCTTACCATTTAGAATCATATTTGCCTTTATTGATATAACAACAATTTAGTATCATCCCTGAAGAATTAATCTGTTCAAAAATGCGAACTGGGTTCAATCTTTGGTTTCTCCAGATATTAATGAGAAGAACCTCTATCATAAAACTTGGAGAATTTTTACCAGATGTAGACATATCACTGAGCTAGATGGATTGTTAGGAACCCAGGATCACAGGTGGATCCACTGCCCATCTCTGCCCTTCGTTTTCCTTCTCTAATGCTCCAAGGAAGGTGAGGTTACTTTATTGCTTGACATCTGGGTCTTCTGAGACTGTGAGCAACTCTAAGCTGTCTGTCTGGCTCTCATTAGAATATTATTGCTGTCCATCGCATGATATGTTTGTCAGAGCTAGTTTGACTCTCTCATATGTAGAAGAAAGCACCATGGCAGGAACCCCTTTAGAATCAAAATTACATTCCATTATTCCAAAATGCAGTGATAGCTACTGATCTCTTCCATGAAATCATTCTAAAGTTTCCTATTATACTGAAAAAGAAGCAGTTTGAATACTCAACAAGTAATGTACAAATACTAAGTATTACAACTCAGTGTTGTCACACCCTTTGTAATGAGATGCTCTCTGTTGCAATATAATAGCATAAAATATATAAATAAAACTGAACCAGGCTGCAAGCAGAGGTAATTTTCTATAGAATTACTGCTGCTCACACTTACTGGAAAGTGACTCTCTTAAGAGATCAGTTCAGAGTATTCTCAAGTACCTAGAGTGCAATTTTGTTCCTTCTTTATTAAAAATGATACGGTTCTCTTGCAGGTCCCTTGGGTAACCTCTCAATATAGATTTAATTATTCCTCATTCTTATCAAGACTACAGTGCGATATTAATAGCAATAGGCAAACTCCCCCTGGTCCGATTCAGAATAGGCTCAAGTAAAACGATGTATTTCCAAGATTGCTGGATAAAATTGTAGAAAATAAAATGCTCTCACTTGATTTTATTCCAGATTTGGTCCAACACTGGAAAGTTGCTACAGCTCATGGTTTGGTTTGGTTTTGTTTTTCATTCATCATCCACAGCACATCTCTTGGCTACTACAATATACCTTTTGTCAGTCCCACTCATGTGAGGGTTATTGGTAGCAAAAAATGGGGCGACTGGGCGTAAAACTTAGTGACTTTTACTGCAAGTCCTGCTTGATAGCTTTTCCCAAAATGGCAAATGCAGTCCTCTGGAGGAGGACACTTGGGTAGGAAATGGTGGTAGTAAATATGATTAGGAATATTTAGTGGTTTTAATTGTTTATTGTTTTCATAAGTACTTTTATGCTTTTTTTTTTTTTTTGCTTTATATATTGTAAGCAGCCTAGAGTCATGACAACAGGCTGCATACAAATGGCCGGATGCAAATAAATAAATAAATATTTAAAATATGAGCATTTCCTCGGTTGAGCGCTAAGCCAATTTAAAGACTGCCAGGCAGGGAAAATCAAATGCATGTCTTGAACCATTTCTCATTCAATCTGATGAAACGAAATTGGCTTTAGAAATTATTTCAAAGGAAGATGGAGTGTGTGGTGTTTGCACTTGCTTAGTCATAAGGGGGCTAAGGAACATGTCGGAATATTCTGTTCTCACAGTATAGCCAACTTTCTCCAGAGCTACACAGTCTGCTTGGTTTCTCACACTTTAATGAAATTCCGAGGAACATCATTATAATGGGGCTTCCCCAATTGCATACCTCATCCCCAGCTTTAAACACACACACACGTACAAAATTTTCCCAGTTATCAATGTGGCTTGTCCACAAAAATCTCTTCTTTTAAACCAATACAAGTTTCTTTCAGCTTTCAGCAAATGAATACCAGATTTGGTAGTTAGGAATGATGGAAGCTGTATGCTGTCTGGATGACCATTCCATCTCCACTTCTTACAACTGCAATGGAAGCAGCTTAGAAGTTCTTCAGGACAGCAATAGTGCCAACATATCAAATACTCTGTAACTGGAGGTATCTACATAGCAAGGGAGGATCTTGAATTACAGAAGCATTTTCAATTGTTTCTGTGCACATTACAGTTTTTGGGAATCTACCAGTGTAGCCTATAGGAATGGATTCAAAATCAGGAAAGGAAAAAAGGAAGTGATGCTGTTTATAAAATAAAGAATTTCTTTAATTCGGGTGTGCCATATGCTCATGAATTGGTATGCACAAAAATGATACCCATCTAAGGCCTACTACTAGCCTGGAACTGGGTAAGCAGGCACAGAAGAGAGATAGGCACTTACCTCAAATATAAAACAATATACACTTGCCAGGAGCTGGAGGAACATGTAAAATAGGTAAAGATGTATTGTGGAATAAAGTTCAAATTACTGCACCAAAGCAGCAGAAGCCACCGGTGGAGTGGGAACAGAGAAGGCAGTGTTAAGTGTTAGACTCTTGAATTGACACAAGTTGAGTAAAACTTTGATTTGTCATCCTCTAATTTGGTAGGCTGTTAGAGGATGCAGGGCAAGGATTAGGAAATGGCTAACTGAACAAGAAACAGACTAATGATGCAAACACAGTGTCTGTGTTACATTAGCACAGAGATCTGTTTTCTATTAGTGCATCCATCAACAGTATATCATGTTCCAAAATTCAAAGCTGAGATACTTCTCTCGGAGCAGCTAAAGTCCATAGTGTCAGGCAGACATCTGAAGTGAATCAATTACGAAGCTAGAAGATTCAGATTTGGCTCTGATCACTTTGAAGGGAATAATTGTTTATTCCCTTCAAAGAGCCTCGGAATCTTTCCAGAACGGCCATAGTTGACTCAGGGTTTAGTCAAATGGGATGCATGTCTTTACTTTAAAAAAACCTTTAGGTGAAGGTTGGTCTCAGTTGCAACTCAGTAGAAATGATTTATTTCAGAGAAATGTTTGTAGAGGAGTAGCCTCTGTTTTGACAAAAACCGAACAGAAAAGCCCCACTCAGCCCTTCACAACAATCCTACTTCCTGGGTTCAATCATGAGGAGCTCTGGGGCCTACAAAAATTGGTAACAGGGCCAGAAAGTTGCCCACTCCACTGCAAAGCTTACTGAGTTTTGTACGATAATGATGTCCTTTGGGGTTTCAAATCAGTATCAAGTCTCCTGAATGGCTAGAATGTTTTTTGATGTATCATCTTTAGGAACATTCAATTTATTATCACCTGACTTCCAGGCTTCTTTTTTTCCTTTCCCCCCAATTCAATCCCTCCTGCTGCCCTGTGTTTATGTCCTGCTAAGAAGTTGTGTTTATAACCAACAGGGATACACACCCATGCCCACACATACACAAATACAATTTCGCAAGAATGAAACATAGGCCAAAGCAGAGATTTCTTGGGGAGCCTGAATCCAATAGCCAAGATTAAACACAAACTTCAAATGTGGGGCTAAGTTAAATTAGGCAACACTGAAGTCCTTTCTCTGGTGAAATTTCAACAGTTTTCCTCGGATGCCTCCTATTTTCAACCAGTAGTACAAAAAATTAATAGAGCTTGAGCTAAAAGGCAACACAGATCCAGCTGATACCTTTCAGAACTTGCACAACTTAATAGAAACCAATTATCTGGATTACTCTTCCTCAGAATCATAGGAGTTCAACAAAAGATGTGATGTAATTATTATACTGGATTTGCTCACTGCTCTTTTCTAAGTCTCCATGACAGGGTTAAGCATGACACTCCCCAAGTGAATTTAATGTTAAAGGACAGAAAATCTTGCACTAGTAGAAACTTCTGCAAATCACAGTCAGTTGCAAACTGGAGGAGGTACTTTTAATCTTCTTTGGTAAGAACTAAAGCCATTCTACATCCTCTAACAATATGGGAGCACAGCATGTGGCCCAGATGGACAGAACAGCTGACTCAGGAATAAGCACAGATATTTAAGTCTAAGATGGTGGGGAGGTACCAAAAAGCACAATATTGTTGAGTATTGTATGAATTAGTTACGTTGGACAATTTATACACCCTTCTTCATCTCCTTCTCTTTTCTCTCCTCTTCTCCTTCTCCCTGTTCTTCTTCTTATGTTAGCCCAACAGGATCAATTGCTCATACACAGCAACCAGGCGGAGAGCAACATAGCTATCACTGGGGAAACACTGGGCAACCAACAGCAGCAGCAGGAGATCAGCAACCAAGGTCAGTACTTGTAATTATTATAGTTCCCTGCACAATCATTCTCAATTCCATTTATTAAAAACCAGAACAAAAGGAAATTCCCTTATCCGCCACCAAAGTGTAGGATGAATCACCAGAGCCTCTTGCTTCTTTCTACTTGGAAAGGTGAGTGGGCAGAATAGAATATTTATAGAGAATAGGCTTGCAGGAGAACCACTGAATTGAATGAGCAAAGAAATCATTTTCAGGGATAATCTTGTGATGACCTCATAAGAAACAACTAAAGCAATGCAAACTCAAGGGCTCCAATGGCGTGAATTCAATGGTTATGGAGGCTGGATATTGTTAGCTGCTGCTATGTTCTGTGATCCAGAGATAACTATAGATAGTCCATCAGGCCTTTGCTATTTTACAAGCCAAGCAACGCCAGTTGCAACCCCTTCAGACTGTTGTTGCAAAAACAGATAAATGAGAAATATTTTCTCCCTACCATACCCCTTTTGTTCTAGAAATTCCTTATTTCAAGGTGTGCCACCCCAGTGCCTATGGACTCAAGTGTGTCTGCAGACATCTTCCTTCTACCTGGCCTTTTTTGAATATTGTTTCAATGTTTAAAAAGCAAACAGGCAGCTGGCATGCTGCAAAGCAAATCACCTGCCTCTGGCATCTTCATTAATTTTTCTGCACCCCCATAGACTCCAAAGGCATTCTTATGCAATAATAGTGGTGGTTGGGTGGCATAAATATTTCCTTGAAAGCAAATACAATAAAGGAAGGAAATGAACCCTGTAGGATGGGGTAGGGAATGTTTCAAGAGAAAAGGATAAATTTCAGGCTCCATATTCTCCATGGTGTTAGGAAGCCATCTAGTGATGATTGATGTTAACAGAAGGGGTGGGGATCAATTTTTTTGTGGGTGTGGGTGTGTGTGTCTGTTCTTGGTGGGTTGTTTTTTTTTTTTTTTGGTGAAATTGCTCAGAATGCTGAGAATGCTAGGAAAGGAAGAGGATCTTCTGGGAGAGGAAAACTGCTCCCATTTCCACACTAAAATCTTTTGAAAAGGACAGAAAATGCCATTTGAGGAGCTTATTTCAGAATGTTCTATTTGCATTTGGGAAGGCATTTTAAGGAAGGAAATAGGTGAGGTTTGATCCAAGCTTGTATCCTTCAGATATGTTGGTCAGGAAATTAAAGCAAGCATTTGAATGCATCAGGTACACTACCTGGAAAAGACTTATTAGTACTAGATGAACTTTTTTCATTTTATTTCTAAACTGTTTAGAGTTGGTGTTACCATTGAAATGACCTATAAGACTGAGTCAAATATATTAAAATAAAAGATACTTCAAAATTGGATCAACGATAGGAAGACATTCATACAAAAGAGGAGTCCCCGTTTCACCATTTCTCAATGTACTCATAATGATCACTGGACCATACGAACGTCCTTTCTTGTCTTTAGTCGTCCCATCCCATGCTTAACATTTGCTATCGACTCAAATTGTATTTAAATACAACATCTGGGCAAATTTGTTATGAATATTGTCAGTCTCACTGTAATGGACATCCCATTGTGAGTCTGAAACTGGTGTCCAAACATGATACAACCAGATAAAACTACTGAATTCTCTCTAAAGTGAAGTTTCCAGTGTCGAAGAAGCACGCAAGGCATTTTTAAGTAAACAGTCCTGACAATCGTTCTCAGGGAAACGATTGGAGTATATATCTCTAAAGGAGCAATATATTGCTAATGTGTGGTTAAATTTTTGTACTGTAAATTCCTAGTAGCACAATGGCAGTTAAATTCTTTCATAGGATCAGTCCATAAGAGTATAATGCATTTATTGAAATAGTAAAAACTGAAATTGACTAGATAGACAAAGACTCCACTTATGCTCATTAAATTTCTGTTAACTGTTCAATATACTCTCCTGGAATTATAACGACCCTATAATGAATATGGATCATTCAGCAATAATTGGTGACTGTGCTTGTAGAAATGTCACTCAAGGTGCATGATAAAAATCAAAATGGTCTACTCACATTAATGACTGTAGAAACTTTTCACCCTCTTTCTGATAATGGTTTGTGGGATTTATTTTGGTGATTCCTCCTTTACTCTGCAGTGAATTTCTTCTGGTTTTGTTGCATTTTTCCCCCTCTCCCCACCCCCCTCACCAGCAGTTGCACAAAAAATGAATGAACAGATTAGCAGCCAGGAGATGAAACTGACTTTGCTACAGAAGAAGGTTGACAACATTTCAGTCGTCATGAGAGATGTGAGCCGGACACTTTCCTCTCTGGAAGGCAAAATCAATGAAGATAAGGGCAAAGATTTTGTGGCGTTTCTAAAAGGTAAAAGAAAGAAATTAATGCAATCACTCACCCACTTAAAAGTGCCAAGAAAAGAGCAAGGGAGGGGGGCAGGGAGGAGGAAGAAACTACTAGCTCTTGCTGTTGCAGTATTCCACATTCTGCAAGGAAGCATATATTGCTTTGTTTCATTTCTTTTTGAAAAAAAAAATTACAAATCATAGGATGTGTTCCCAATCACCACCAGGGACATGATCAAGCCAAGGATGCTCATGGTTTGCAACCTCATTCTTCCCATGCTAACTAGTTTATGCAGGGTTTTATTGTGTTTCAAAATGCCTGAAAAATGGATTTGACCAGAGATAATACTGATGCAAAAGAAATGAGTGGGAATAGGATACGCAATGAAGATATTGTCTTCTCCTGATTTACAGGGTTATATGCATATTTTTCAAGCCAGCAGCCCATTCTCCTGTTGGGCTGGTCTGAAAAGCTTTCCTTACAACATGAACACTCCAGTTGGTGAGCCAGTGCATTGTATGAATGGAAGAATGAGGAAGAATGCTGTTGCAAGTTGGCTTCATGCAATGCATGTAATATGATGGATGCTTGTTCTATTCTGTTATTGCTATTGGCTGTAACCAAGAAGAGACGTTTCTGGACTAGTCAACACAAGCCATTTAAAATAATAAATAGAATGCAAACCTAAGATCTAAATTTAACATTTCTGCCGTGGTCGATATCATGATACAAGCTGGAAGAGCTTTGGATCATTTGGTGACTCAGCCCTTCTGCATGCCCCTTTTAGAGTCTTCCAAGATTGAAATGTGCCAGCCTGGAAAGCACTAACCTCAGAGATTGCCTCGAATGTATGATGGGAGAATCATTGCTGGATTGTCTCCTTCAAGGCTGAGATCTAAAGCTCTGGGTTGCTGTACTAAGTGCCATAGGATCACAGCCTAAATGCACCAAAAGATTTTTCAGTGTAATTATCTGGGATGTTTTAAAAAGACTATAAATATCACAACATGGATGCTAGATAGACATTACAAGGGAGAACATTCCATGATGAGGATGCCACCAGAGAGAAGATCCTCCCTCTAGTAGCCGCCTAATGCCCCTCATCTGGGTTGGGACATCTTGAAAAATTTATGTTTAAAGTCTTTGAAATATAACTTGAGAAGGCAATAATTACATAGGCTAGTTCCAAGCAGCTGGATCTTCAAAGGTTAATATAAATGGATGGGATTTGGCCAAAAAAAAAAAAGAAGAAGAAGAAGAAGTATTAGACCTAACCAATCCAGAACATAACTAAAATCTATTTTTTTGTTCATCATTTATAAAATTTGCCCCTAACTCTTCATTTTTGTCTGAGATCATTGCCGTTTGACTAGTAGCAAAGTTGGTATAAATAACATACCTTGGAGCCTATAAAAGCTATTAGAAGACATCTTCATAAATTACAGTCCCATTTTTTGCTTGCCTCTGGAGTCGTTAAGCTCCAGATGCTGCCCTCAAACAATGTGGCTTTAGCCATAGTGATATTTACACCTTCTCTCTCATTCATCCTGTTCTCTCTTTGCCCTCAACGTATTTTATTGCTCTGTGGCACTCTTGACCCTTAGGTATACATTCCATATCTCTTTGAACATTTTCCATTTCCTCTCTGCTTCCTTTTCAACCATTTCTCTATTCCCTTCAGGTTAATATGTGCACATTCAGTTACAACGTGCCATGATGGAAGTCATGTGCAGCATTGCTCCACCTCCTTCCTGCATTTTTTTTGATGCACATTAACACACAATGAAGTTGCAATCATCACAAGGATCATGCAAAATTCAGTATGTTTGGTCCTACTTAAACCCTCACATTAATACACAATGCCTGGATTTCACAACCTGTGATTTATTGGTTCACCAATCCTATTCAATAAATAACCCCTTTCTGTAATTTTGTTTCCTAGTGAAATCCATATTATGTCCAAGCTTATTTTCTTCCAAGTGTTATATCCAGAACATATTTTTTGCCAAATTGCCCTCTAGTATAAAATTACATGTAACACATTTTCCCTATGAAGTTTTTCTTATTCTCTTGATGTTCTTCTTTCCACTGGAAATCTCCAGGACAGTGAAACAGAATATTCAGCATTTCAGTATAATTAGCAGTCCTTACTGAAATATACTAGTGTTACACTTAGTATAGAAAAACATGGATTTCATCTGTGCATTTTTTTTTCCTTTATTACAATCCTCTTAAACAAAGTTCAGATTTGCAGGTTCTGGCCAACAAGTATATTGTTATTGCTGTTGCAAACAAGAACAGGATTTATTATCCTTAAATTGCCAGGAGTGCAACAACTGATACAGGAAGAACTTCACTACAATTGTTGACCTCTAAATGTGGATGGTGATGTGTGAGAGATAGGGCTAATCATCCTCATAATCCTCATCCCTTATGATTACAAGCATACAGATACCATTTTTAATAGGGCTATGCATGCTTCAAAAGTTATTTAGACCACATGCATGCTTCAGACCACATGCAAGCCCAGTAGCACTCTGTTATGTATTAAAACAGCCTGTCATTCTTTGAGGCTTCTGTGCAGGCCTGAAAAAGACCCAAATGCTTTAAAAACTGCATTAAATGTTGAATGTAGGTGCCTTTTTCTTCAGCCTTGTATGGAAGCCTAAAAAATTACAGGGGCATCTGTAAGTCAGGGATATAAAGCCAAGATGGCAGGCATAACTGAAGCCCCACCCTTTTGTAAGTGCCTGCAAGGTTGCTACACATACAAAGGGGTGGGACTTCAACTGCATGGCTACATCTTCCTTCTAGGCTTTTTACTTCCCCTCCCCTTCCCTCCCCTCTCCAGCACAGATGCCCTAATGGGCTATTTTAATAAATAACAAAGAGGTGCTCTGGTTGCATAAGGTCTGAAGCACTTGGGAATCATTTCCAAAGTGTGCACACTTCTTCTTTTAAGAACAATTGAAGAAGTCTATCAATATAGACTAAACTTCATTTTGCCTAGGCAAGGACTTCTAAATGCATTTCAGATTCAGCTGTTAATAAAACTCCGTTTGGTGTAGAAGATTTGCTTACATAAGGATCCCTAACAATGTTGGCATTATGGTGCCTACGGTGCCTGTCTTACAAGGATAACCTAAATCTTTCTGTATACCATAATATCTCACGCATTGGCACTGCAATGTAACAATGCTTGTTTCCTGTTTTCTAAAAGTTAAATCTATTTTGAATGTGCCTGCCAATCAGGAAAGTGGTTACCTCCTAATAAAAGTAACCATTTCTAACCTAAGAATAGCTGTAAGTCCACCCAGAGAGAATTTACGAAGGCTCAGTGAGGCTTATCAAATGCTGAAATGTATTTCTCATCCAGACACTGAAGAGTTTCATGTCCCCTTTGCTTCAGGAGCAATCTGTTCCCCAGGGTTTGTTTGTTTATTTATGTATCATATTCCTAAATCTTTCTTTGGGTCCAAGGATATCTGTATCTCTTCCCTGTATAAGGGCCGCTTCTGTCCAGATACATGAACTGTATTTATCAAATTGGCCATTTGAAGGGAGCAGCTGCTTTTCAAGACGTTTTCAACTGAACTTTCTTACCACGTTACATCAGCTTTGTCCAGAAGGCTAACCTCAAATCCATTCTTTATCTGCCAGAGTTTCCTTTTGATTTATATTAGTTATTTTCAAATTGGGTTGTCCTACTGCCAGTGTTGCTATAGGAAAGGGCTACGATTGGCCTCTTTTATTAGCTTTTCATTTTAAGTCTGGGGACTCGACAGGACCTGACCCTTTCAGAAGTGCAAGCCATATATACATTAATGTATGGTGTGAGCTGTGATGGAACATGGAAGAAGTGTTACATCTTTTCATGATACACTCCCTTTATCTCATATTTGACCAGCTTCTATAAGGATTCTGAAAGTACTAGTTGTTCCCTGGGGTAAACAGGTAATGTTTCTTCAATATTGCTCTGACAGCATAGCAGCATCCTCTTCCATCAAAAAGAGACTGATTTCCCAACCTGGCTACCTCTTTCTACTGAACTCTCTTATCCCCTAATGTAAAATTATTTCTAGGATCCTTCTTGCTCCATCTTCTTCCTGTGACTCAGGGATGCTTTTGTAGTTTTCTCTTCAGATGAGGTCTTAGCCAGTTACTCTGGGGTTGTTGCATAATCAATCTGGAGAACAATAAAGAGAAAGAGACCCAGGAAATGCAAATCAATATTTGAGAAGATTTTCATTAGCATTATTGATTACCTGAATGTTGAGAATTTGTATGGAACAATGGACATAAAACTGTGTTACACCTGAGTTCACAGGTTAGTGCCAACTATAAAGTTCCTTCCAATGTGTTTAGTATAAAATCAGAGTGAGTTGTCCCTTTTCAACCTCACTGATTTCAATGGGACAGACTTAAATACATTGTCGCCCTTTCCCATCAAAACTGCTGGGTCCTTAACTTTGACCAGATAGTAACTTTGGAATCTTTTCAGTTTTCTTAATGCCTTGCTCCTAAAAAAAAAATATGTTTCTGCTCACATCTTCATTCTAAGGCGTGCGTGCACGCGCACACACAGGCATCAAAATCATACAACCTTTGGGGTCCACTAATTTGTTGCTCATGATTCCAGTGGTTTCACAAATTTTGATGTCTTACTTGGCTTGTGATGGCAGATTCTGCCTTTGTGCTTTTTGCCTTTCTGTTTTCTGCTCATATTAGATTTATGTCTTCCAGCCTCCCAGTGGATCTGTCATGCCTTCTGCATTTGTTTTGTGCAACCTTCCATCCTATTTTCAAAGCTGACCTTTGCATAGCTTAACATGACCTCTGAATTGTCCTCATCTCTCTTCCCTCCCTGCTCTTTATCAAAAGTCAACTAGAGAATTAACTGGGAGAGAAGGAGAAATAGCTTCAACAAACCCTGGTAGGGGCAGAGGACAGAAGTTTAGCTACAACATGCCTCCATTAAACTCAACGAAGACACATAGCTGGGAGGAAAGGACAATGAGATT